TTATCTGTCATCAGTAGTAGAAATGATCATAATTAACAATCATGGATCGTTAGATATTTGTTGTTGACAATATCTTTTTTTTTTCTTTCTTACGACAAATATATACAGTGAGAAAAAAAAAAAGGAATAACAAAACTGGTTGTTGTCAATTCAAGATTAGGTTTATTCATCCCAGCCTATTGGGATAATGAAAAAGAGAGAGTTGATTGATATAGATTAGGAACGGCATTCGTTCTCAAGGAGGAAATCAGCGACGTCTTATGATGCTGCTATTCAAGTCAATGTCGGTTCTTCTCTTTATTTCTTTTAGCTCGATAAACGAACAAGGAGAAGAAGATTGTCCGTCTCTATTACAACTCGTCTTATCTTCGTCTATATAATGTGTGTCAATACCCAAGTACGAAGTGCCTCATGGGATATACCAATAAACACAACGGCAAGTTCTCGTATACATTGATTGTATACTTCTCAGATCAATCATCATAGACAAACATGCATACATACATAAAAGATGCGATTTTTTTCATTTTTCTTTGTTTCAACATACATACCAACACACACAAACACATATTCACTTACTGATGTCGATCAGACTATTTAATGATATACACAGAGAAGAAAAAAAAAATAAGAAGAAAAACGATAGACAATATTCTTTATACGAAAGCAATCATCATTGGAATTTTCGTTGTGGGGTTTTTTTTTTCCTTAAAATAAAAAAAAAAAGCATAGTTTCACATATATCTATTAAATAGATATTATTATTCTATTCTTAATTTCAATCACTTTAAATTCCATCACGTGTATTAATATTTGACATTTAACAATACTTACACCAGAACACTAGTAACCGAACTATTTCCAAAACGACAATATCTCTATCTGTATATAATCATTGGCAAGTATAATAAGTAATAGTAGTAAACGAACAAACTTGCGAGCACGTCAGAGAAAGAGAGAGAGACGCAATGGACAAGAAAGAGAGAATTCTAATCACAGAAAATAGGAGTATTATAGAAGAACAAAAAAAAAACACAAAAGAAAAGCGAAAAAAGAATCATAGGGCTTGACAATGATATAGGAAAAAAAGAAGAAGATATTCTTCGAAAGCGATTATTGTATAGCTAAAACTCGACCGATGATTATGATATGATATACAACTAAGAGAACGAACATTAACAGTGATGATTAAATGATTAGTTCTAAAACTTTGACATAAGGTCGACAACTTTCGTTGTCACTTTAATATTAAAGGATAAGGTAAACAGATTGATTCTGATTATTGAAAAGACCACGATATCAAGTATGCAAATAGATAAATAAATATACATATATATATATATATCTATATTACACAATAGTTTGATCATTCAATTCATTTTTATGTTCTACTAAATTGATCGACAAGTTCAACTCGAAAAGATAGAATGAAAGAAGAACACTTGACTAAATAAAGTTTAAAGATAATCGATTATGTCTTATATTAAAAAATTAAATTGTATAGATAGATAAAATTTTTCTTTTTTTTTTGTTTTAATACCTGAATTGTTTTCAAATCAAATGATGTCCATTGTTTAACAATTAATTCAATATTTTTACTTGTTGTTGTCATTCTCCGTCTTAAATTAAAGATTAAAAAACAAAAAAAAATTTATTTTTAATAATCATTATACATACCACTTGTTCGTTCCAACAACACAATAAAAATGCGAGAGAAAAAGAAAAAAAAGAAGATTATTCAAATCTAAAATGAAATAGTAAAATATGTTCAATGATTTGTCCTAGGACATAACTATCAATTGAAAACTTGTGTGTAGTATGTGCATGCATTCATCTACATCTGTTAATGTATATGTTTCTGATTTCTTTTTTACTTCTGTCTTTGTCTGTATACAAAGAAGCAAGCAAATGCGCAAACTGATAAAACGATGGTAGTAAAATCTCTATTTTACTTTCACGTTCTTTTTATTCTGCTTGTTCTTTTTTTTTTTTGTACTTCGAATATTTGTTCCGATCATGTTGTTATCGACTCAACGACAAAGTCACGGCTTGGCGAATGATTGCACATGCATATGCACACGTATACACATACAATGACAAGTTTATTGGAAATAGCTGTTTATGATCGATTGCCAGCCAACTCAGCATACAATATGTCGACAAAGAAATAGAAGGCAGAGAGAAGAAGAAGAAGAAGAAAAATTTATAGTAATAGTACGAACAGTATCGAATACGTTTATATTCGAGACGACTTTGAGATTTTTCAATCACTCTTGTTGATACTAAATCTTTTTATTTTTGTATTATGCTATACATCATCAATCACAGAACAATCAAACCACGGAATAAAGAAAAGAAGAAAAAAAAAACAAGTGATTGATATATATATTCTACAGGTTGTCTTTTATTTTATATAGACATATATATGTGCATTCACGCACTTAAAACAACGATACCGATTTTATTTTACTCTTGATCTAATCAGCTCTGTCGTGCAGATCATAATAATTCTTACTAATCCTGTCATCATACTCCTTTTTCCTTGGGGGCGACTTACTGAAGAAATATTGATCTGATTTATGATCAAATATATCCTTGTATATGTCTATGCATCCCACCTTCCTCACATCTACATTAATGAATACTCTATGTTAATATATAGAAAAAAGAAAAGAAGAGAAAAAAATGTCAACATCAACTCAAAACTTTTTATCATCAATAAATCAGGTGAATTCTATTTCCTTCCTCTTTTCTTGTCCATACTATCAATTTTCTTAAATATGCACAACTACAAAGTGACATCCTGCCAAAAGAATTTGATGGCACACTATAGATATAAACACATTTATTTATAAAGAAAAAACCTAACTCGTATTGAAAATGACAATGATTGGAATTGGTAAGTAGAAGGAGATCAAAAATAAAAAAAAAAGAATTCAAAAACAAGAAAAAAAAACAATCATATTTTTTTATTTTTATTGATTTATTTATATAATGAAATATACATCAATATAAATGGTAGTCTTATTGATAGATAAATCTAAAAACAAATTTGTCGTGAAATTTGATTGTTTTCTCTTTTTTTTTTTATCTTTAAAAGACGACAAGACTCTTCAAACAAATATAATGAAGATTATTGATATCTGTGTAAGTGGAAAATAAAACCATCATTTTGAATGAGATTTTGTTTTGTATTGCTTTAGAAATCTATATTATTATTTTCTAAAAAAAAAAAACAAAAAAAAAGAATTTAACAAAAAAACAATAAATGAAACGTGAACGTGCTAAACTAGAATTAGTATTATTTATAAACTAGCATGATATTTAATGCTAACAAAATTAATTGCATAAATAGATGAGTACTAGAGAAGAAGTTCACGAGGAATTATCTCCAGATCTTAAAAAAGCTTCTTCTCTGAGGCGATGTTTATTTGATGAGTACTAGAAAAATCTATAATGGTTTATTTTTTGGAGCCTTTATTTTTGAAATATCAAAATTTTACTTTGGTCACGAAAAAAAAACATCGTCTTTCGATTTCAAATTTTACATGAACAAAATTTTCAACTGAGCCAATTGTAACTTTCCTAGAATCTTCTATTGTAAGATATGAAAAATTTACAATTCTCTTATGTGTAAAAGTAAATTTTATTCATGCATCTATATTGCTAGCATTGAAAAACTAAACCATTATAGATTTTCTAGTACTCATTAAATGAACATCATCTTGATCGAAGAAATGTTTTGATATCCGGAGAGGTTTCATCGTACTTTATGAACTATTGAGTGCATTGGAGAAGTGTTGCCAAGGGATCTGCATCTCACAAAAAACTTGTTTCTACGTATACTAATAAAATAAAAGGTGTTTCATCCTTTCTACTATCATTTTCACGTATTTTTTTGGTAATATCCAAAGGCGAACAGACATCATCATTACTAAATTTGATAAATGTTTGATAACACTTTTTCTAAATTCTTATTGAATATACTAGTTTTTTTTTTGAATGATAACTTAGATGTTATTATTATGTGAGTATTTATCTTTTATGAAGATCCACTATTGAATTCTGTAGGAAATATCTGAATCAATATAATTGATCTCATTTCACTTCAATTAAATAAACTAAAAATGCCTCTTAGATAGTCTATTCGTGCTCTGCAATAACAAATATTTAAGAGAAAAATCATTTCTTCATATCTAAATCTACATTTTCTATTACATCGTTTAATAGAAATAGTACTGCAGCTATATGAGAATTACTTAACTAGAAATCTTGAGTCAAAATTGATTCTAAATAAGTGACTAACAAAAACGGAAACTTCATCTAATAGTAAATTACTTGTGAAATGAATCTTATCACATTACCGATGTTTCAACTTAAAAGAATATATGTCATCAGTCATTCTTCTTCAATTATGATTTTAAATACAATATCGTCATCTTTCAAAAATAAAAAGACTTTAATTTAATCATTAATATCTTGAACTGAAGCATTTCTTCTATGAAATATAGTGTGATCTAAATTCATATTGCTTAGTACTATGAAGTATATCAAGTATTCATAGGATTAAAGATTTTATAAAGATGAATGAGAAGAATTTGAATTCGGTCCGAAATTCTGATCTACCTCTGGATAATATCGAATTAAAGCGATAAGATTGATTTTGTGAAGAATTTATCAGTAGGTAAGGTTTCCTTATGAGTGATAAGTAACTTCATAATATAAGATTTAAATGAATGCTAATCTCATCCTGATAAAAATTTAAAATATTGATAAACAGTCTGAAATATTGCTTTTATTTGTGGAAAAATATTCTCTTACATTATTGAATCTAATATTATATTTCATATGTATAAAATTTCAATAATTACTTTGAGATATATTTATTGGTAAATATTTATAAATTGTTGAAGATCTTGATTTTATGATAGATAGAAATTTTTTTCTTATTTTTCTATATAAATAAATCTTCGTTTTAATATAATAATATATTTTTAGAATTAATTTTTAATATAATTCATTAATGTTTTATATTCATATTTGATTAAATATAATTCTAATTCATTTCGATTATTAAATTCAATTTTTTCAAAATTATTAAATCTAAATAATTATAAAAAAAACAAAAAAAAAAAAAGTTTTGTATTAAATAATTTACTTTGATGAATGATTATTTAATTCAATAATTTGAGTTAATAATCGTTCTTTACAAGGTCTACCATGACTATCGATATCTACTGTTTCAGTTTTTAATTTAATAATAAATTTCTAAAAGAGTTTATTTCAAAAAAAAAAACAATACTAAATATATTTTATTTAACTAACTTTAAGATTTTCATTTTTTCCTTCGATAAGTATAAATATATTATGTGGTATAATAAAAATTCGACCAGTAATATTTAATTCATTTGTCCATTGATGAAGATGTTTCATATAAATATTTGGTGAACGTATATGATCAATTTTCATTAAAAATGAAGATGAATATTGTTCGATTTGCATAATTTTCTTTGGTCTTTTTATTATTAATTCATCATAAATATATTTCAATGTTGTAAATAAATCATACAATGTTGTTTTTAAACAAGCATTAGCTTGTAATTGTTTAAGTTCATCTTTTGTTAAAATATTACTATTAACAATGATTGTATTATTCATATAAACATTTGTTGAAAATCCAATACATTGTAGATTATCATCATATGCATTATATGTAATTATTTCAGACAAATCATCATAGACAATTTCATTCGTACGACAATAAATTGCTTTAAGTACTTCAATTTGTTCATTCATATTTTATCAATCTAAAAATCTATTCGTTTTTTTTTGTTTTGGTTTATATAAATTGTAAATATATTATAAAACAAAAATCAAAAGAAACACTTCAAAATTAATAAATCTGACAAAAAAAAATATCTATACAATAAAAAAAAAAAAATTCAAATTACAAAATAGTACAAGAACAAAAATGAGATGTATGTTGTTGTTTTATTAATGATACATTATTATTTATTTGATATTGAGATTTATTTTTTCGTATAATACGTACAAGTTCAAAAAATATTTCATCAATATTATAACGTGTTCGAGCTGATGTTTCAAAATAAGGTATATGCATTGTAGCAGCTGCTGTACGTGCTTGATTATCAATACTTATATGACGTATATCTAATTTATTACCAATTAATAACATTGGTACATTATCTGTATCTTTAATACGTAATATATCACGATGTAATTTATAACATTCTTCAAGTGAACGACGATCTGTTAAAGAAAAAACAAGTAAAAAACCTTCACCAACACGTATATATTGTTCACGCATTGGTTTAAATTCTTCTTGTCCAGCTGAATCAAGAATTTCTAATTGTGCTATTTGATTATCAATTAAACATTGTTTTACATATGAATCTTCAATAGTTGGATCATAATCAGAGAAAAAAAATGATTTTACAAATTGAATAGTTATTGCTGACTAAAATATAAATGAAAAAAAAAAATATATATATATATATATTTTACATTTGATCAAAAATAAATATCTAATTAATTATTTATAAAATTCTATCAGTGTTTTATCCAGAGGGGTGCCCGGCGCCCTCCTGAAAATCGAGTTCGCCCTCCCGAGACTTGTGATAATCGTGCTACGAATACATGGCTTGCCCATCCCCCCTCCGAAAATAATTTTTCGCCCCCTCGAAAATTCAAATCGCCCCTCCGGAGAAAAAATTTTGGATAAAACACTGAATTCTATTTAGTATTTTTAAAACTAATATTCATATTATTCAGAGGTAGAAGATTGACTATGACATCATCATTTCTGATGAACATATACTTCTTCCTGTCAAATAATGAATAACAAATGAACATACGTGCACAACATGATCCACAGATATCTGGTTATCATACTTATAATATGATCTTATGTCAATACATATGGAGGTATAAAGTCGGAAAAGTTATAATGAGATCATGAACATATGTAATTCATAAATATAATTTAAAGGCTAACAATTTTATATTGTAATACAAAAGAGAACGCTTTAGTTTTTGATTTTTAAAAGAAAATTCGATAGATTTTTCATTGTTAGATTGTTTGTAATGTATGAAACCTTTGATTATAGATAATTGACATATTTAATATAGTTAGTATGACTTTTAGATAAACTCTATTGGTTAAAAAAAAAAGAAACAAGACTTACTTTACCAACTCCACCACTACCTAATACAATAATTTTGTATGTAGGTTTATCTTTGAATTTATTAACTGTTGTAAGTTGATGTTGTTTATTTGATAATGTTGATTTACAATTTCGTGGCATATCAAATCTTTCTTCTTTCTAAAGAAATTAAATGATAGAATTCACATATCAATATAAGATATTTAACATATATATATATATATCTAAGCAACTTAGTATACGTGTATTTACCTTGATTATTATTATGAATTGTATGTAGATGAACTACTACTAAGTTTACAGTGATAGTTGTTGGCAGATATGTTTCTATGACCTTGTTATCATGAGCATCGTAAGTTTGCCGGTAGTCGATGATGATCTATGAGCAAACAAATGCTGTTGACTCTTGATTAAATAGAGAAAGAAGATCATACATTGATATCTGGAAGAGAAGGAAAAAAAAGAAGAAGAAGCAAATACACATACGGAACAGGTACTAATAGATGATGATGATGATGATGACGAAGAAATATAGTACAAATGATCCGCTTTTGTTTTTTTTTGTTCTTTCTCTATTTATCTCATCATATTCTATATGATATTTAAGAAGGGATGTTTGTTTTTATTTTTGAATTTCTATTCTAAATTCCATATAAAAATTGTTATTTCATTATTCTCATTAATTCAATCAAGCAAATTTTGTCCAAAATAATATGTATATATGAACACGCGAATGAATTCGTATGTTTATTTAACGATATAACACACACATACACAATATATATAAAGAAAAGTAAAGAGAGTAATTTTTTTCTGAATACCACCATTGATTATACAACTTTCTCGTTGTTTTCTTTTTCTTTTTTTTTGCTTTCATTCTTTATGTATACAAAAAATGTTTGACAGTCTATTTATTTATATACATATCTTTTCGTAATGAAGTTAATTATGTAGAAAAGTATGATCTTGACCATACAAATATTTCACATACTCATTTTACAATTTACACTAACCAAAATGTCAATATCGAATTCATGTAGTAATTTGTCATCTTCTTCTTTTGCTTGTTCAATCTATTTACATAGTTTCTACATAAGGAAATGTATACAGATATACACCCTTATAAGTAAATCATTATATAGTTATTCATTTCCTATTTTTATTCTATTGAACATGTACAATAGTATTATGAAAAAGAAAAAAAAAACATTAGATAGAAAACTTTGAGAATAAATTTATGTTTACACTAATTTGAGTCATGTAATAGAAGTGATGACTCATTTTATGTACTCATCGTAACTGTTTTTTTAAATGGTAATATGACGCATTTCCTTTTGTTTGAATATTTACTTATATATCGTATCTATGATTAATTTAGAAGACGACAATAACACTAAATAACTTTTATTGAAGATAAATATCGAGAACAGTACTTCTGGATTTGATGATTTGAATGTTTGAGAGAGATTAAACATATTAATTTTCTACATAAGTCGATTGTCATCTATATGAAATATATAAATTGAAAAAGTCTATATTAAACTTCCTTTTTCACATATATTTTCTTTCAACCTTTTCGTAAATCTAACTCTATGAGTAATCTTATAGTCGATAGTATCATCCTCTAGCAAATATTAAAATTCATTTCAGTAGAAATCATTAAATGTCTATCAAAGTGGAGCAAAGAAGTATGTCCGACCTTGACTAATACGATTCATTTGTAAAAAAAACCAAATAAAAATCGAATTAACGTATCTACAGTCAACTACAACGATCAATTGACAGTCAACAAACTGAAAAATCATTGCGAGTAACAGTTATACAAGCAGAATGGCCAGTTTAATGGTATGATATATTGGCTCGATAATTGTCTGTCAAGGCTTTATTGCTTCTCGATAATCTCTAAAATTTTCTTTCTTTTATAGTATTTTAATTTAATTACCTATGAGTATCTATTGTCTTAGAGTTCAATTAATAATCAATTTTTCTAGAATAGATAAAATAATGAAAGAAATCTCTAGAATATTTTCATTCCTTTCATAAAGAAAACATAATGAAGAATGTTGTAGATGTATATATTTAAATAAGAAAAAATAAATTACAATTTGTGTTCTGTGATTTACAATCAATTTTGTTTTTTTAAAAAAATCACAAAAAAAAAAAAAAGAATCAATAAATAATATAAAAAAAGAAAAATAATAAATCAATTGATTTATTCCCAATTCTCTTCATCATCATCATTATCTGAATCATCTTTCTGAATTTGTTGTTGATTAGCTATTTCTTTTGCTTTAGCTGCAATTGCATCTGTAAATGCACCACCAGTTGAAGCTGGTGGTGGTACTGGTGATGGTGCAACAGGTTTTTCAGCTAAATTTGCTGATGTTGATGATGATGTTTCACCTGTTATAAAACCACGTCGTTGCATTAAACGTTTTTTTAAACTATCCATAATACTTTCTTGTTCATGTGAACTTGGTAATGGTGCTTCATCAACTGGATTTGTTTTAGATGCTGATTTAAGTTTATTTGTTTTTGCAAAATTACGAATTTGTGCAAGTAAAGGATTACCACCATCATCATCATCATCATTGTTATTCTCCGTATTCACTTCATTATTAGTTGTTGTTTGTGATTCATTAACAGTTGATGGTGGTGTAAATACTGAAGGAACAACCGAAGGTAATGGTGGAGCTATTGGTGGTAATGGTACAGTTGAAGGAGGAACAGAGTTTGAAGCAGATATAAGAGGTATAATAGTCGGCATATCAACCGGTGGAGGAGCAGGTACTAAATAACAGAATATTAGGTAATGGAAAAGTTCTTGTACAAATATTGATTCAGTTTTTTTTTAATCAGTTAAAATATGTGTGAATCAAAATCGAAAATACTTACGAGAAATCTATGCTGAAAGCTCTTCTTAATTATATGTTCAGAAAAATTCCTGAAGATATTAATCTCATCGTATTTTACGATTTCCTTTTAGTCTGTATCGTTTTTCTATCAGATTAACGTCTCTATTCTCAACAAATCATACGGTAACATTGAGAAAACTCACTTTTGAACTTCTTTCTATTTTCATATAGATGTTCGTATTGTTTTGCTGACTGTTCGACTTTGTCATTTTTGCATCATTCGTAGCCACCATTTCAACTGATTATCGTCTCATGATTATTTTCATATTCAGTTTCTTACAATATTATTTTTTAACTTGACAATCATAGCGTCTTACGTGATATCGTACGTTCCTTTAGCAAGATTGTAGAGAGAATTGAACGACGTATCTAACCGAGAAAAGATCATAAACATACAATCGATTGCATTGGATAGAATAAAAACGAATACTAAAAGATTCATGTTTTTGTTGTACTTATTACTGTGATCTGTTTTTTTACTGACCATATTATAGTGCTTTTTATAAAAACGTACTCGCTATTGAAAGATAAGAGCTGATAAGAGTACAGTTAAAAAGAGCTTTCGACTTAGATTCTTTATAATTATTATCATGCTTGTTTACACATGTTTTGTCCGATGAAAAATGAACCAACATTTATGTAGAAATTTTTTGTATCATCTATTATTTACCAGTTGTTTTTGGAGGTTCAATTAAAGGTACAGTCGTCGTTGTTGTTGTTGATGTTAAATCTTTAATATCTGGTAACATTGAAATAGCAAATGAAGGTGCAATCGATGTCATTTGTTGTCCAGTCCAAGCGATAGCAGTATTATCATCGAAGGTTGCATAATTTTCAAGTTCAGGTAAATTATCAGGTAGAGAAAGTTGAGGTACAAGACCTAATGTAGGATTATAACCAAAATCACCTATTGTTGGACGTTCAGACATTTGTTTATAAAAAGCAGGTAATGGAGTTTCAACAAAACCTTTAAAAATAAAAGCATTATAAAATATATATTATTCTTCTTACAAGAAAACTATTCGAACTGATAGGTGTCGTTTTAGTTCATTTTGAATTCACAAGAATATATCAGTAAGACTAGAAAACTTCATACTCATGCATCTCTAAGGTCTAGTTATAATTGCATTACTGAATTTTTTGATTTGAAATTTCATTCAAAAATACATTGAATGACTAGTGCAGTATTCTGAGAGTTTTAGCTGAAACGAATATCCTATTGTTAAGATATTGAATTTTAAGATAAGCTAAATTTTTGAAGCAAACGATAATTCTATTATCTCAACAAATGAATATTTTTTCAGTAAATTTCTAAAGATGGATCGAATATTCAGTAAATCACATGATTTCAGAGATTCATAATCACGTACTCTTTTAGGCTTTTCGTAGTCTTTCTTCTTGTGAATTCAATATGAGCTCAAATATAAACGAATATCAGTTCGGATAGTTCGTCTCATTAGAAATATAGAAAAAAAATCATATCATACGTGATTGAGCAGGTTCATCAACTTGTTTACGTATTCGTCCACCAACATTTAATGGATCAATTTTTGTTGGTTGTGTATAACTTAAAATATCAAAAAAATAAAATAAAAGAAACAAATTAATTTTATTGATTACATACGGATTTTCTTGTGTATTATATTTAAGAAATGAAACAACTGATGTAATATTTGTTGGTGGTCTACCTAAACCATTTAAAATAGGTTTTTTTGTTTTTTGAATAAAATTATCATCATATTGTTTTAATACAATTAATGTATCATCATTTGATTTTGATTCTTTATCCTTACGATCAATAAATTTATCAATTGTTTCATTTAAACGAAATAAATTATAATGAAGTACAGGTACTTTATTATCATCATTATCTGTATCACATTCAAATATTGATTTATATGTTGAACGATTTTGTTCAACTGGATAACGTGCACTTGAATGAACTTGAATAGCACGTTTTGAACCTTTTATACGTTCAATATGAGCATTAGCATGTTGAATACGTTCATCAAATTTATTTAATTGTGCACGATAAACATTTAAACGTAAAGCTATACGATTAAACATATCTTGTGATACAGTATCCAAATAATCAAATGTATCAGCAACTTGTTTAATAAATTCTGCACGACGTAAATCGCCAGCAATAACAGGAACAGTATAGGGATGTGTTGTAGTCATCTGAAAATATAAATTAATATAGATAAGAAGGTTAGTAAGTCTTTATATATATGTTGTCAAAAAAAAGAAAAAAAGTAAATAAAACATAAAAGATAAGATTTTTATTTCTAAATAAATTTTTTTACTCTTCATCAATCAACATGACACTTGTAGGTCAGAATTTATTGAAAACAAAAACAACAAAAAGTTTATCAATTTAAATAAAAATTTTAACATATGCATTTGGTTTTTTTTGTTTTTCGTCATCCATATGCACAAATCTTTAATAGAATAAATGTTGTTGGAATGATTCATCATGATGATAATTAAATAATTTTCTTAATTGATTCTCATTGTTACAAATAATTAAAATAATAGTTAATATGAATAAAATAATTTTTGATGTTATTATAAAAAACAAAAAATATTTATGAACAAAGTGGCCAAAATATACACTGTTCCCAAGAATTATAACAAAATAGAATAGTTGCAATAACAAAAACAAGTAAACATAGTGTACAAGGACGTTTTTCAATTAAAAAATTGAGCAAATGAAGCACCAAAAATAAATAATGATGAATACTTGGTAAGATAGGATGAGGTAAGAGAAATAATGGTAAAAGCCATTGTATGCAGTACATATCATCTTTAAAAAAAAAAAGGAACAGAAATTTTTTTAAACATTCTAAAGAAAAAAAAATTATCTATTTTATTGATGAGAATTAATATCACAATAGGAATTCAAAAACAAATAAAAGAAAAAAAAAAATGAAAATAAAAATATTTCTAAAATTCATTATGATTTTGGGAATTGATTGTATTTGTATTCGAGGAATGTAAATTTTCAGGTGGAAAAAATATATTACGTTCACTATGATGTTTAACACGAAGTTCATTACGAAAATATTCAATTGTTTTATTAAGACCTTCATTAAGTGAAACCTATGAAAATTTCATTAATAAAAAAAAAAAAATTCTTTTTCTTTTTATATGATTATAAAATAAGAATGTATTTTTACTCGTGGTGTCCAATTAAGCCATAATTTTGCTAATGTTATATCAGGTCGACGTTGTTTGGGATCATCAATAACTGCATCGTGAAATTCTAATGGTGCTGTTGAACCTAAAATAAAAAATATTTAATAGATTTTCAGAGTTCAACAATTTGAATTCATAAGAAATTTGTCGAAATTCTTGAGTTTTGATTTTTCTCGTTCGAAAATGATTAAGTTTTTATAGTTTAGTAATTTTTTAAATGAAATTTAGTTCGTTTCTTAAAAACAACAAATAAGATTACTTCATCGGACAAGTTGTAATTTTTATAGTAACTTCGATTGTGAGATATTCAATATTTTCTCATGTGTAAAAATAAATTTTATTTATTTATTAACACTTCCAGTAAGAAAATATTTACTTGACCTGAGGAGTATCACAGCTCGTTTATTAAAAATTTCAACACAATCTCGATGACGAAGTGCAGAAAATCCAACCATTCTATACTTTACTATTATTCTCTAACACTTTTAACAACTAAATCTAATGACAGTAACAAAATAATGCCTGTGAAAATTTAATAATAAGTTTGTCTTTAATTAAATTCGATTTATTTTTCTAATATATAATTAAAAATTTTTAAAATTCATCAGTTAATAATAAAAACTATTATTTTTATATTAATAATATATATTTCAAAAAAATAAAAGAATTAAAACTTACCAACAAGATCTTTTATTTTCAATGCAAAATTTTCAATTGTATATTCATCAGGATTACCGATATTCATCGGCATTGAATAATTACTGTTCATTAAAGCAATAAGACCATCAACAAGATCACTAACATATTGAAATGAACGTGTTTGTTTTCCATTTCCATATATCTAAAAAAAGCAAAAAACAAAAATAATAAAATATTTTTCTATCTAATTTAAATAATAAATTTTACAGTAATTGATTCATTTTGAAGTGCTTGTAAAACAAAATTACTAACAACACGTCCATCATTCATATGCATTCGTGGACCATATGTATTAAATATTCGAGCTATACGAATAGAAATATGTTCCTAAAAAAACAAAAAAAATTATAACAATATTATTAAAATTATTTTTTATTTCATAATAAACTTGTTGAGCATATGCATAACACATAGCTTCAGCAACTCGTTTTGATTCATCATAACATGCTCGTGGTCCAAATGAATTAACATTACCATAATAAGATTCTTTTTGTGGATGAACTTCTGGATCACCATAAACTTCACTTGTTGAAGCAAATAAAAATCTAGCACGAACACGACGTGCTAAGCCTTTAATAAAATTTTAAAAAAACAAAAAATTAAATCTTTAACAAAATCTTTTCTAATTACCTAACATATTAATAGTTCCAATAGAATTAACTTTAATTGTTTTAACTGGATTATACATATAATGTGGTGGTGATGCTGGTGAAGCTAAATGATATATTTGATCAACTAAACAAACAAAAACAAAATTTAAAAAGAATTTTTCTTTTCATTTAATATTAACCTTCAATAAAAAGTGGATTAACAATATCATGATTAATTAATTCAAAATTTTCATGACCAATCCAATGTTCAATATTTCGTTTACGACCAGTAAAAAAATTATCAGCAACAATGACTTCATGACCTTGAAGCATTAATCGATCAACAAGATGTGAACCAACGAAACTATTCCCCCCCCCCAAAAAAAAAATTAAAAAAAAAATGATTTAAATTAAATATTTAAATTTTACCCAGCTCCACCGGTAACCTGTACAGATAAAATTGCAATAAAATTTTAGTAAACAAAAAAAAATCAATACAAATTTTAACATACTAAAATTCGTTTACGATCTTTATATGTTAAAAACTTTACTTCTGGATATTGTTGTTGTCTAAAAGAACAACAAAAATAAAATAAAAATAATTCTAACAATTGATTTATATTTTACCGAGCTTCTAAATCTTTTATACGTTTTTCTAAAGCTTGAATTCGTTCTTCTTGTTGACATTGATTTATTTTTAATAAACAAATTAAAAACAATAAAATATATAAAAAATCACCTAAATAAACAAAATCAAAAATAATAATAATAAACAAATATATATACTATTCTTTTGATGAAACATTAATCCAAAATTTGTATTGATTACTCTATAAAGAAAACAAATGTGTAATGAAGCGCATCAAAGAAACATACAAACTAAGAACCTTTTTTCTTTTTTATTCTGAAGACTACAATTTTACTCAGTTATGACACAAGAAAAAAAACTAATATGATGAAAATCGCTACTATCAATGTTATAAAACTATGTCATTTTATTTCTATTGGTTTAAATCTATAGTCAATCATTGTCCTGGATGAGAAATTTTACTTATTTCATTTAAAATAACATCTTTTCATCAATTATATAGGAAAAATATTTCATTTGATAAGCAACGTCTTGTTGTTACTCATTTCGGATATAGATATGTGAGTAGTATTTCTAATGGAAATCGAAAATAAAATTTCTTTTTTTAAATTTAATCATAATATTAGGAAAGTATATGTGTACACTTTTTTCTTTGTAACTAGAGTGCATAAATATGTACAATAACGAAGTTTTACTAGGAAAAATGAAAAATCTTTTTGCATTTGAAGAAAATATATATTGATAATCGAAAAATATATTTGTGTTCTTTTTTTCTTTTTGCTTCGATAGAATTCAAGAAAGATCGAAGAATAGATGAAAAAAGTAATGTTTTGTAAAAATAAAAAATAGAATAAATGAAATTTAATATTGTTTTCGTTAAAAAAATAAGTATAGCCATCATGACAACAAAGCCTGATTTTATTTCACAGAGTGTGCAGAGTATATTTTGCTGGTTTTCATTGCTTATTGTGACAAGGATATTAAACTTGTTTATATATACGGTATGATGTAATATATCATATATCGTCTATTAATACAAAAACTATCCATTATAATCATATTAACTAATATTTGTGACATGTTTTCCAATAGAAATAAAAAAAGATACTTGACATTCATAAGTTGAACAAAACAATAATAAAACAAGCATAAAGATCCATAATTCAAAATTTAATTAATGTAAATAAACGGACAATAAGAAAGGATAAGTTTTCTTTCTATTGCTTTTTCTTGAATTTATCATCAAAACGAACAAATAATGTCGTTGAGTTGATTTGAATAATTTTTTCACTAAATCACTAATTGTTGGTATGGCATATACTTTACTGGCTACTATTGATATTAATGAAAAATCATGACAAGCTTCACTACTAGATAATAACCCCATTGAATCACAAACACTTATGACTGATTTTGATTCGTTGAGAAAAATAAAACAAACTGTAGGCAAGACAACTGAGAAATTAAATATAGTATTCTCTGATACAATCATATCATATATCCAGTTCATTGACTTCAATCTCTGATTTTTGTCACAAAAACGAAGTACACGGTAGCAGTATTCTGGTTCAGAAAGCCATTGTACTGTAAATGATGATTTTCCCACATTATCTCGAAATCGGGAATCGACAGAAACGAGTCCGAATTCCGCCAGAAAATATAGGAAACTCAATGGAACAATATAAAGATTCAGTCGCATATAACCGAACGATCTAGTACAGAACGCACAGAAGCATTCATTATATTCTGATACTACGAGAATAGTTTCAAAGCAAATATCGATGTCTTACAAAACGACTCTTACGAATCATTTCCATATTATCATCGCAGCTGCAGAAAGTCTCTGAAGTTTCTCAAGAAACTTGTGACATAGCGAAAATTCATGAAACTGTTAGGCTGTCTTTATGCGCGAAAAACCATACCTTCCTAATTATGCCCATTTCTCTTGACGAATCCTGCACTCTCTTAAAGAGATGCTCACCTTCGTGTCAAAAGATGCATACGGATGATTAGCAACCTATTGTGATACAAGGATGTGTGAAAAAAGCCACAGGACTCACTTTGCATCTGCGTGTCGGGATAGATCAATTTATCCTTAGATTGGATCCGTGTAGAAAACGACAACCGGATCTAAATATTGTTTCGGACAGCAGGAATCGAATCAACAACTCACAAGGGAACCTTCCCAGGTGTCGGAGCGCTTTTCAGTCG